CTGTGTTCTAATTGTTGGAACTTTTGTTTGTATTTTTAGTGCCGAGTTAATATATTTCAATTTTTTCCCCTTAATATATTTTTTGTGTTGGTTTAAATGCATATCTGAGTAAGTTATGTTCAGGAGGAGACTGCTGGGTTGTGTAGTGTATGAAATACCCTGTCACCTCAACCAAAAAACATCTCGCTGAGTTTGAAAGTGAGAAGAAATTTTACATTTGCAAAAATGGTATTTATTTCCATTGTATGTAATGTTAAGCATTGTTTGCTGGGAGGTGAGTCAATGACTTGAATTAATTATAATTACTGAAGAGACACATACTGATTGAGCAAATAAAGTAGTAAGCTCATTCGTGCCAAGGCCATCTAATTAAATGCTAACTTTGGATAAGCTAGATGTGCATGAAAGATTAATTTTAAGAGGTTTTTATGACTCCCACTAAATAATGATTCAGTAAAATCTTTGCATTATATCATTAGAACATTTAATCTTAAAGTGATATAACATTTAGACACAGAACTCTATTGTACAGGAAGATGCAGTAAATTATTATTGTTGAAAATTAATCACTTTTCTCTAAGAAATGTTTATGGACTTTGTTTTAATTTTCTGCTGGGGTGTGCAGTGGAGCAGATTGGCAGTGGGAAGGGTACAGGGTGCACCCTTTGCTCAGAGCCTGTTTCTTTAACTTCCATTGCCCTGGGGTTAGGAGTGAGGGGTCCTGGGGATGGACTGACTGTCCCCACTGCCTGTGGCAGCCAGAGAATGTTACCAGCCCCACAATAATCTATCCAGGATACAAATCCTTTGGGTACTGGAGGGAGGTGTATGTTTCCTCATGGACTTGGATTAAAGGTTGATTTTCCGTTTTAGAGTTTTGTGTTAAAAGAATTGAGAGAGTTTAAATATGTGTATTTTCTTCTGTAGTTTAACATACTGTGTTTATATTTAAAGCATATTTATTTTATTGCAGAACATTAAAGATACAGATATTTCTAAAATTGTATGTAGCAATGAAGATCAGTCTAGATGTAGTTTTCCTGTCAACTGTAGTAACCAGTATTTATCTAATTAACTGCCAAACCTTCAAATACAATCCTAGGAAATCCATGAAATTTGGTCATCTGAGGTGTCTGTCATGTCCTTCACTCCAGCACTTGTGTCTAGAAGCACCAGCAACAGATGCACATGCTGTTGGTGCTGCTTATGTTCTTGTAATTATTCCAGCCATTAATATATATCCCCAAATATTTCAGCACTATTTTGTGTCTGTCTTTATTTTAGACAACATGAGAAGCACAAGTTCACAGGAGGCCTTACACATCATGTTGTTCTTTCAGAAGAAAAAGATTAATGGGAATAACTTCCCTAAGCTCAACCACTGTTATGAAAATGCATAAAAATAAATTGATCCACTTAATTTAAACTATAAAAAACAGCAGAAAGTTTGGATTTCATCAAACTGTACTTTTCAGCCATGTCAAATAATGCACAATTCTGTGCAGCTCTTGAATAGCAGCATAAAATAATAGTTGTGATGTGCCAAAGAACAATGATGTGCCAACCACTGACACTTCTGATGGCAGAGACAGAACAGAAATACAAAGAAATTGTTTTGTTTATGTGCACACCACACTTGCAGTAATTTAGGCAACAGTATCTCTGGGTTTTTTCCTCTTCAAGCCTGTGTGGGCTGCACAGCACCAGCCTCCTCCAGTGAATTGCTGGTGGTGAAACATCCTCTTTGCTTTGAGTGAGATGAAAATGCCACAGAAAAAGCAAATGGAAATATTCCTAAGATCTGAGTGTAGGAGAGCACCAGGCAGCCTAAAGAGAATCCATTAATAATAAGACTTAAGAAAATTATGTGATTTATTGTATGTTTTGTGTGTATCCAGTTACTCCTCATTTCCTTAAAGAATTGGTGGAATAGAACATTTCTAACAATAAAACCTTAATGGAATCAGATTTGTGATTTCCTAGAAAATTAACGAGATATTTTGTCAATTTTATTCCAGACTTCATTTGTCAGAATATACAGTGTCCAGTGACAAGCTAAAAGAATTTTTTGACAAATTAACTATGCCACAGGTGACAGATCAGGAAAATGTTAATTTAACAGCCCCTTTATGCTTCCCAGATTTATTGGAGGCTATTAAGGAAACTCCAAATGGTAAGGCCGCTGGCCCTGAATAGATTTTCCATTGAATTTTATACAGGATCTATTAATAAAAGTTTGATGCTGCCTTTTTGAATATAGGTAATTGTACTTTATTTTCTGGGTCTCCTTAGCATTTACAGTTGGAATACAATTTTTAGTTGGAAGAAAAAGAGTAATTATGCTTTCAGTAGTGTCTGTAACCTGATTCTGAATGACTCCCCCAAATAAGTGATTACAAGCTCTGTATAAACTCCCAAGTTGCTGCTAGTTAAGTCCAGTCTGCCTGGGCCTTTGAGTCTTGTCCACCAAGACCAAAAGTTTGATCCCTTTCAGTCAGTCCCACCACCTAGAGATTGGTACCTAATAAGCTTTGCCCAGGTAAGCAATTGAGCTCTGTGGGACTTCCCATACAATTAATATTTTGCAGGATCAGGCTAAGAATATGGATTCATTTGATCCTGTAGACAAGTGTCTGATGGTTTAGATTTCTAATGCTGGTTCAGAATAAATACCAGCAACTTGCAGTGAACACAGTGATTTCCTCCAGACCCTTTGCACTTGGTGACTGATCAGTCAAAGCCTTGACCCACGTGTTTTTCAGCTGTGCTGATGTTTCCTACCTAATATGACCGTGAAGGTTCTCCTTACTGTCAGCCTAATTGGCTTCTGAATCTTGGGATCAGCCTCTCTTGTATCTTATGGCAATTGGTTTTGAAGCACTTTTAATTAATAAAAATATTTTGCTTGCTTTTTAATAGATCTTGAGTGTAGTAGTGATGCTTTTGAGCCATTTCCCAGTGCTGCTGCTGGTGTTACTGCTCCCCGCGCTCAGAGCAGGCAGGTCCCTAAGACATGTACGAGTTACCTCTGGTTTAAGTCACCTGTCTTGGTGCTCATGCTGGTGTTTGTGAGTATGAGAACAAGGTTATCAGTGATGGGGGAGTTTGGACAGGCAAGATGGTAAAAATAGACTGGAGGAGGCAGAGGAGATGTAGAGGTGAGGAAGAACAAAGAAAAGTTTATTAAAAAAACCCATAAGCACAAAGCAGCAGTGCAGGGCAGCGCAAAGGCAAAGAGCAGTGCAAGGAAAGCTGCCATCCTCTTTATAGTAGCTGTATGGTCAGGGTCCCTAGGATGGGTTTTATGAATTTTGTAAATACATGTGTGTTGGATCATGTGCTTATAAAACAGTCTGGACTTGTAATAGTGGCTAGTGGAGTAATTTGGTCTTTGTAGTCACTAGTTCCAGTTCTTGGCATGTGTGTCCATCCTCTGGTTATATGCTGTGTGTATCACTGGTAACCTTGGCATCCACTCCCACAGCTGGCTGTCAGTTTTGCTTGGTTTTTCCATTATTGGGACTAAGCATGACATGATTCTTCCATCCTTGAATTTAAGTAACTTAGCATGCCAAGGAGTCACATTCATTTCCTTGATAACAGGTATTTACTGCTTCAAATGCAAGTGCCCCTGAAATCACAGGTCTCCCATGGTGGCTGGTGTCCCCACTCCTGACCATAATGTGAGGGACACTCGCAGCCCTGTGCTCCCTCCTGCCTTCCCCCGGCTGGGATTTGCACCTGGCAAAGACAGACTTGGAGACTGCTGATTTGTTACCTGATACCACCTTAATTCCCCATGTTAATGGTTTCTTTTGAGAGGTGAGGTCATGGCTATGGGAGGATATCTGAGGATCCCACATGCTCAACTCATCCAAAGGCTTGTTCAGGCTCATCCAGGCAAGGGGAGGGAAGGTCCCCATTCTGCTACAACTGTAGCATTTCCTTTTGAACCAGGAACAATTTATTCTCCCCATAAAAACATGGGAAGGGGCAGTATCTGCACTGTAAAAATGCTTTCTTAAAAAAAAAAAAAATCTATTTGGGAGGATTTTAATAATACTTTTAGCTATGCTAGTACGAATAATCTTCTAATTTCCTGTTACTTCTCTAATTAATAATCACACTGAAGGATCAAATGGTTTTTAACAATATATCGAAATTAGCACATGGCATTTAACTCCCTCTTTTATACTCTCATCACAGATTTATAGCATTGAATCCTTTTATTATGTTACTTAGAATTCCAAGTGATTACTTCAAATACTTTCTTCTCCCAAAGCCCATATGTGTATACAGACAGAGAGATCTATCATTACATTTGGGTCCTGTTGAAGAGGGGATCAGGATGTACAATCTTTTGTCTATTTAGAAGATTGCTGGTTTAAAGATGCAGCCCCACCTGAAGTAGATTAAATGTTTTTTCTTGTAATGCAACCTTTATAGATCTTTATGCTGCTGTGCATTTTATGTTTTATTTGTTAATCTCCACAGTGCCAAATAGGTACTTATTTTTTTGATACAGTAAGTTCCAGTAAAACCCAATATTAGTTAATCCTTCTTGCTTGTCTTCAAATAGTTCAAAATAGTTTAATGGCTCGGATGTATGTGTGGTTTTTATCTTCTCTTGGCAAACCAAGGTCAAGCCTCTTAACCTCCACATTTTGCCCCAGATCTGGCCTTAGGTGGTGTTCCCTGGTTTGATGTCCCTTCTAGACCTTTTTCTTTTTTTAAATCCTCAAAAACTTGGGATCTTGCAGCAAAGTTCAGGCTTTTTATGGAAATCTGTGAAACAATTGCCAAATATTTAATATTATTTTTATAGATGCATTAAACAACAATAAAAGGATTGGAATTTCAATGTTCAGGCTTCTTCCAGTTTTAAGTCATTGCAGTGTATTTTACTCTTTCTGCTGAAAAGAATCCCATCCGTACCAGATTTATATGAGCTTTGTTGCTTTTTCTTTTATACATTCTAATGAAATATATTTTCTCGACAGGGTCATGTTGGTACAACGGCAACCAAAAAAATTGATGTCTACCTCCCACTGCACACAAGCCAAGACAAACTGCAGCCCATGACAGTTGTGACGATAGCAAATGCCAAGGTGCATGACCTGATTGGACTAATATGCTGGCAATATACAAGTGAGGGACGGGAACCAAAACTGAAGTAATGTTCTTTCTTTACTACCTCTTGATCTCTAATTTTCTCCTCTGTAGCCTTTTTGCATAATGAACTGGATTTCCATGCCAATGTTTTTATAGATAAATCTTTGAGAAACCACCTACACATTTGTCAGGATTTCCCTTTGAGCAGTACACGTGCGTCCTTATCCATTTCTCCTGCAATTAAACTGCCAGATACTGTGTAATGATCAGCCTGTGAAACCGTGTATCTGTAAATGGATCATAATTTCAGCACTCTTTATGTAAAAATAATAGAAATCTTCTCTCTTTTGGTCTCACAGAGATATTTTTTTATTTTATGTCCCATCTATTTTTGGTAGCGTTCTTAATGGCTAAGGTCTCACGGATGTCCAGCGGAACCCAGAACTCTGCTGTAACTCTCTCTCTTGTATGTTCCAAGGGAAGGTGCCCAGATTCTGACTCAGGTTTCTCTGCACGGGGTCAGTTGCTCCTCCTGATGTCCAGGGAGAGGAGTCACTGTGCTGGGTGACAGTGTGTCTTGGAAGTACTGTTAAGAATGCCTGAAACCACAGAATAGATATTGGACATAGTGAGTGTGCCTGAAAACTAGTCAGAATTCTGTTGCAGAACTTCAGCATTATCACTCACTGCTGATAGAATGGCTTTGATTTATTACATACGTGTGAAAAGATTTCTGTTTTTCTAAGATTTGGCAGGTATAGCTAAAGGTGCTTTTCTTTCCAGGCTATCATCCTGGAGATAGCACTAAGATAAAGATATGCAAATAAGGACCCTGAAAACAAAATAAATACCTGTTATCTTTGAAATTGTGACTATAATTGCATTCTTTAATTAAAAAAACACTGTCATGGAGTATTTTATAATTTCTATAAGGTGTTCAGCTCAGTCACATTGGCTCATCGCTTAAAAGAGAAGCTTCTGTGTTGGCCTCAGAAACTTTAGAAATCGCTGGATGTTTCAGTATTTTTGGGACTCACTGTTTGTGTCTTCATTGTGAAGAAATGTTGCCCCTAGGATTTCTGTGGCTAAATGGATGGGTTTGCTGTGCTGGAGAACTAGTGGTGTTCAGTCAGAGCTGTTACTTTATCATGGCAGGTGACACAAGATTTATACAACAGGTACTTCAGAGCTGCTCATCTGAGCAACTTCAGTTTTAAAACAGTTTTCTAAAGTACTTCAATTTTTGCTGGGGTCATAGAGCATAAAATAGGAACTTAAAATATTTATTACAGAGATATTAGTAGCAGATACCGGTGGGTGACTATTCTGGTACAAAGAAATGAACAGTTTTGTTTGTTTTTTTTTCCTATAGGAGCTAATTTTCACTTCTTTGTTGTTCCTGGAATATTTGATGAATGGGGTTTTTTGGTGCTGAATTTTGCAGTTTGCTCTTTCAGCTTTTTTCAGAAGGATTTGAGGACTCAGCAGTCTTCTCTCCTGTTGTAGCACAGTTGTAAGGGGGAAAGGGAAGTGCTGAGAGGTCACTTGAACTGTCCTTCTAAAGGACTGGTTCATTTCTGGTTTGTATATGCAGGGCAATCCAGAAAAGCAGCTTCACAGATATTGTTGCCTTGGATATGAGATTTCCCTTAGCTCCTCTCAACAAACATATGAGATGTTTCAGAGGTTAAACACTTCAGTTTGATTTGTCATTTTTTTACACTAGAGGAGAAACATAAAATTATTTGCAGATGGTGCCATTTAATTTGCTGTTATTAATTTCTGCTGTTCCATCACAAGTTCAAATAATTGTCCTTTGTGGGTGATTAGCTAATTTTTTAACGAGTAAGACACCACTCATGTCAGGCTTTGGACACGTGTATTCTTCAGGAGCACAGCACACTTCAAGTGGAACACTGCTCATGAGGAGAGGTGTTCTGTGGAACGTCAGTGCCCACAGCCAAAGCCAGCAGTGGGAGGAAATGAATTTCAGTGTCTGCCTTGAAGGATAAGGTGTTACCATGTGTCAGAGAGTGATCATGACTGAGGAGGCTGAGTAATGTAATCAAATCTCAGGACAGAAATAACAAAATACACAATGGGGGCTTGAGTTCCCCAGAACAGTGTAACAGCAGCAATTCAGCATCTGCCTACAAATGCTCAAAGGAAGGGGCAGAGCCTCAAGATTACAAGAAGTTTATTTCCTTGTGTAGTTCTTAATTATTTCTCTTGTCTCCATCATCTGTCTTTGGCATTGCTATCCTGTAGCAAGGATTGATGTAACTATAGACTTAATTCTCATAATTTCCAAATAAGGAAAGAGCTGGTGTAGGTTGCACACTCCACAGCTGATATTTGTTCCTGATTCAGTCAGTTTAGAGTATAAAATGAAAAAAACGAGTGTCATTGTGTCACTACTAAAATACATATAGAGAATGCTTCACATCTGATACACAATGCATGCAGAATGACAAATTTGCCTGCTGGTAACACAATTTGAGAATAATGAGGAGGTTGTAGACTTTGTGATTAAGAGAAACGACCCTTCTGTCTTTAGGAAAAGAATGTATTACTGCCTGATTCTTCTTCCTGAAGGGTAGATGTAAGAGTCTGAAATAAGTGAGTAATAGTTGACAGTTTTGAGAAAGTTTTCCATTCAGTTAGGCTGCCTCTTTTCATTATAACTGTAGTATTTGTTCCTATGCAGTGTCTTGATAAGAGGAACCACTGGCAGTGTTACCAGCAACCCTGTTCTGGCCCCTCGCATATGAACTTCAGCCATAACCCACTACACTGTTTCCCTGCTAAGCCCTGGCAGATGTGCTGTAAGGACTCTGCCTGCAAAGAATAAACAAAATCCCTTTCTAGGAATAAATAAATAGTGAGATGCAAAATTCTGATAAACTTCCTATTTTTAGAAGTTAAGAATGCAATTACGTCTGTCAGTTGTTGTACTTAACTTTTACACTGTGTCCACAGCAAAGTTTGAGTCTCAAGACTTTGCAGCTTCTAGTTTGAAGCCTAAAGTTCAGGGCTTTGATCTCATCCTGGTGTAGGTACAAAATGCAGAGCAGTTTTACCCATTGGAGTTGTTTCTTCAACAGATTGTGACTTAATCTGTAACACAGATTAATCATGTTCAGGAACCCACTCCATGTTTGAAGATGTGTAATCCGTTTAATTTGTGGGATTTAACCGACATGGTGTATTTTCAGTATAATTGGTGGAAGAGAAGTTGTTGTCACCACCTTTTTTTTGGCACTTGGGTTGCTTTGAGACCGCACTGAAATCTGTTCTGCTGCCTGCATGTCTCTGTGTTTCCTGGCTTTAATGAGAATTATGCAAATGCAGCTAGTACCAAATGAAAATGTTAACTTTATTTATACAGAGCTTTAAGTGCACTCCAGGCTGCACAGAGCAGAATTCTGCAAGCAGATAGGTTAGCAAACCAGTGTGGGGAGGTGGGAGCTGGGAGCTGTTCAGGACATCTCGTGGCACAGGTGGATGCGGAGTGACACTGCACTGGACAGTGAGCCTGCTAAGCCTGGGGGCTGTGCTTGTAGGAATCTAAATAGAATAAAAGCAGGACATGAAAACCTTGCCAGGCGTTTCTCATGACCCAAGCAGGATCAGCTGTGTCTGTATCATTCATGGCCTTTCTGTTAACCTGTTCCCAACCAGGCAGGCACAGCACAGGTGCCTCCGCCTGAGCAGGCCTCTCTGCTGGCAGAGTTCTTTCCCAGTGCAAACCTTTCAAAACTTTCCCTAAAAGTTACTTCAGCACTCCTGAAGAAGTTAAAACTTCATTTTACAGCAATGTTCCAGTTCTTCATTGCAGTCTAGAGACTCGTGAAAGTTTCTTTAATCATGTTGCTCTATTTTCAAAATTCATAGTGACAGACACTGCTGGGTTGCCTTTGTGTTAGCAAATGTGCAGCTTGCATTAATTGTAATGCATCATTGCCTATTTTATATAATAAATGTCTTAGTGGTGACAAGGTGCATATAGATCACCTGGACTAAGCACTCTCAGTAAAGCACAGTTGCAACCAAAGGTATGTGAATTAATTGAGAAAATTGCAAATCAGGTAGTCAGCGAAATAATTCATTGTCACATCCAATCAATAAACTTTGTAAATCAACTCATTTAATTCAAAAAATGATCTATATAGATCAAGCGACCAATTAAACAATTAGCATACACTTTGAAATTAATTAATTTAAGCATCAATCATTAAAACTCCAATTAAAACTCCAATTTTAAGCTGCAGAGTTTAGAAACATGCTGCCACATGAACATTCCAGCCATACGTCACGGCTGTGGAAAAGGCCTGCATGCTGGCACACTTACAACTAGAAAGAATACTTATTTTCAACTGAATAGTATGAGATTTTGAAGTAGATTTTAATATTAGGAAAATATGATTAATACTTTGTTTTGTATATATAGATACTTATTTCCCTATGGGCTTTTGTTCATGGGTCAAAAAAGGCTTAGATTTTTGTTTCATTTCTTCCTCACATTGGTCTGCGTTACCTAGCTCTGCTCGTTAGTTTGTACTAATTTTTAACTGGTTTTAGTGACTGGACAGATACTTAGAAAAGGTAGCTTTCCTACTAGGTGTTGCTACTATGTTGAACAGGTTTTTTACCTTCCCTGTACTTAATAAAGTACAGTAATAACACTTTCTACCTGCCTGGTAGCTTTTTAGGCCTGTGTTCAGTAAACTTCCCCACAATTGCTTGATCTATGAAAAACAGGCAGACACTGCTAGTTTGTCTGTAATTCTAAAATGTAATAGTCGTATAAATAAATTTTCACAAATGGAGAAATATTACTTCCAGCTTTATGAAGTCATGAAACTTTTATAGGCTTTGGTATATTTTAATCACTGTCATTTTAGTTGCAGTCAATGATGAAGTAAGACTTGCTGCTTTACTCTGAGGTTTCGGTGTTTTTTCTATTACCACATGGTTATAGTAGCAAGTGTTGGGCCATATTTATATCCCTGCCACCAGTGGCTTCATCCTGGCTCAATCCAGGACAAGCCTTTATTCCTGTAAGAGGCGAGTCTGCTGGTTTGTCTTCCATAGCACTTAACAACTGGTATTGATCGGCTGGACGGAACCTCCTGTCTGGCTTCCCTCCCAAATGAACTTGCTCTGTCTTGGTTTCAGTGACAACGTCAACGCCTACTGTCTCCACATCGCTGAGGACGACGGGGAGGTGGACACGGATTTTCCACCCTTGGATTCCAATGAGCCCATTCACAAGTTTGGCTTCAGCACCCTGGCTCTGGTGGAGAAGTACTCGTCACCCGGCCTGGCAGCCAAGCAGTCACTCTTTGTCCGCATGTGAGTACAGCACTGCTGTCCCAGCCACCTCCCCGTGTCCTGGCTGCTTCCCTGTCCTTCCTTCTCCACCTTTCTCCATCCCCACGCAGCGAGGTGGCGGGGCAGGGGTGCGGGTGGCTCTGCAGGCCATGCCCTGCCCAGGGCCTGGCACTAGGCAGGGAGGTGGCAGGAACATAAATCCTTCTGCACACCAGAGTGAGGAGCACTGAGATGCTCTCCCAGTAGGAAGTACCTGGAATTTACAAAGTCTGAGCTCATAATCTTTATTTTGCTCCAGCCATGCTGCTTATTAATGAAGAATATATTCTGAATAATAAATAAGGTATATAATAGCTTCAGAGAGTTAAAATTACAAAGTCATTCTGGTTGGATGTCCAGAGGCCTTTTCAACAGGTATTGGTAATTAATCTTGCTAGTGACTTTTTAGTTATTTTGGCAAAATGTATTGAATTTTAGCAGGAAAAACTCATGCTGTTTGGACTTCAAAATCTTGTCTTAAGCCTGATAGAAAAAGTAGTAAGTTTGCGTCATAAGAACTAGTGCTTTCCTGAGAGGGGTTGTTGTTTGTTTTTTTTGCATTGTCCACATGTTAATTTGAAATTGCTTGTGCTTCCTGTGTAAATAGCTATTTGTAAATAGTTAGATTTGAATTAGAATTTTTAAACTGTCCCCTAGAATAGAGAATTACTTGATCATCACTTGATCTAAAGTTTGTTACTACCATGAGTTTACATATGCCTGCTATCTTATTTTTGCAGGGATTTGTTTTAAATTCTGCATCTTCTTCCTGTCATCCTACTAGTGCATGTAATTGTGGTTTTATATTTTGCATCTCTTTTTTGTTTTTTCCTTCATTTGCTGAAGTATTTCAGCTGCCGCTGTGTCAGGCTTGTGACTTGTAATGTTTATTAATACTGAATCACTGTTGAAAAAAGCTGGTGCTCCTGAGAAGCTTCATGGTCAAGCAGGGTGTTTTATTTCAGAGCTCACCCGTCCTGCACATTGGATATATTTTCAGATGTTGTGCAGTGACTGAGCTGACAGTTGCAAAACCTCACTGGCGA